CACACACAGCCCCAATAGGACCAATCCACAACCCTCCTTAGGGCCCATGGGTTTATTTGTCTAGTGTGGCTAGACATCCATGTTCTAACCCTTTCGTTCAGTGTAAGACAATCCTCTGACCAGGCGGGTTGGAACAACTTGTGCAGTGAGGCTGCTGAAAGCCATTGAACCAAACTGTAAACCCTGTATATGATGGAAACCACTTCAAGTCAGGGGGTGAGGCACCACCCCTAGTTCCATCACCTACACCTCTGACCTGGCTCCACCACCCACACCATGTCCCAAACCGGCATCAGATGCCCCAGCCTGGTTGGCAGCATGACATAGGGATGCCATATTTGAGGAAGGGGCCTAGAAGCAGCGCTGCCCCACGAAGACTGGAGGGGGCTGTCAGACATTGATGAACGTTGTTTCTCAGAGAATTAATGCAGACTCAAGACTTCATTTTGCAGGGTGTGTGGGCATGCATGCGTGTTAACACAGTGTCTCATTTTGCCGGAGGTGTGCATATAATTCCTCCCCTCCACCCCCGGTCTAGATAACATGGGGCAGGATAAGCCAATTGGCAGACTGGAGCAGAGTCAGGCACAGGTTCTGTTGTGCAAGAGGCGGTTGTGGAAAGGGGCCAACCATCTGGATTGCGACACCTTTAGCTTTGGCGACAAGATTCAGTACAGACATTCCTGCCTGTATTTACATGGAAGGCACCCAGATACTACAGTAATGGACAGCCAGATAAAACCTTAAGACAGATAGTGCCCCAGCCAAGACCAGGTATCTGCTATTGGAATGACTGCAGGCATCCTAGGTGCAGGATACATTCAGCTCCACTAGGGGAGCAACTGGTCCATGAATTTCTGATGTGAGACTTTGATCTGGTTTATACAGGATTTACACTAGCACAATCATTCCAAGTACACTGGGTGGCAGGTACATCTGGAATCAATTGGTTAATAAAAAGCCAGCAGCGGTAGTAAATGTCTCTCTCTCTCCTAGGAACAGCACATTGAACACCTGGAGTTTCAGGCAGTCGTTTAAGATATCCTGCAAACCAGGCCCCTTGTATCTATCTCCCCCATTAGTGCAATCCTGCCTGCCCCAGGCAGATACTTTGGAGAGCACTTCCCTGGTACCTTTCCATGGCCACAGAGTCATTGAAACTGACTTGAATGTGGAGTGCGCAGGAGGGTGTGTGTGTGAGGGCAAGGTTTGTCTCAGGGGTGGGTTTGGCAGCTGGATGACTGGGTCCTCTTCCTTGTTTCTCCTCTCCTCACCCTTTCAGTTGATCAACAGCAATCTGGTTGACATGCATAGGAGGAGGCAGCAGCAAGCCCCTTGGGGAATCACATTCTTCAGTGGCATTATCTGTCTTCGGACACTGCTGAGCTTTATGTTCTCACAATGGCTTAGGGGTCTACATGCATCCCAGCCAGCTCTTAGCCCTGCTCTTTGCCAGGTGATAGCTAGATGGCAAACTGCAGCTGCAAGGTGTGCTCTGCCCATCAGTTCCATTCCCCTGGGACTTACTCTACCTCGGGAGGTGGTAATTTCTGCACCTAGTTACATACATGAAGTGACAACTAATGTGAAGGGGAGCTCATTCGGGCTCGCTTTGAGCATTCCTGCCCCCTGATTTCTCCTGGCCAGAGAAGACACTTGTCAGAGAGTTTACTATCAGAAGGACGGATTAGTCCATCTACTCAACAGACTCTCTGAACAGAAAGACCAACAGCAATAGCTGGTCTGGAGCCAGCAAGGACCCTGCACCTCCTGGAGGCCTTCTTGTGATTTTAGGGGCTGATATTGCGGCACTGGGGCAATGCCTTAGCATAGACATGCTGGACTGGTGCATATGTGACTTGCTCTAGCACATTGGGGTAGCTACTCCAGTGGCCAGCGCCCCACAGCACTGGGTGGTGAAGGCACGGGCAGGACAGCCCGTGCAGAAAAGGTTCATTGTGTTGGAAGCAAGGAGACCTTTTCCCCATAATGCCCTGCACACAAGGAGTTGCATAAGCGACAGGCCCTTCCCTTGTCTCTGGCCTGCCTTCAAAATAGAACTGTTTGCAGGCCCAGGAGCTGCTCTAACCCCAGTTTATCTTCACGGGTCAGTGCAGGTTAAACTAAAGTGAGCTCAATCTTCCCCTGAAGAGAGCTTATGGTTCTGTACTAGTCTGCAGACAGCGTCCCTGGCACAATTTTAAATAGGGCCTGGCTTGAAGCCTCCTTCTCAGCTCATAAACTTGTTAATTAGCCCCTAGTTCTACACTGAAACAATTAAAGCCAAGCACATGCCAAACAGTAATGAAGCCTGGGCACCCTGGTGGCATGGATAATTATTACCCTCTCCATTTTACAGCCTGAACCACGCAGCCAGTCAGTGGCAGAGCCAGACATAGAGCCCAGGAGCTATGATCCCTGGTTCAGTGCTCTAACCACTAAGCCACATGCCCCTCACAGCCAGGAACAAAACTCAGGCGCTCTGGTTCCCAGTCCCCAGCTCATGCTGACAAGGTGCTGGCAACTGCTGGTGCTTTTATCACACGTTGTAAAGCCCGGCTCTGCGAAGAATTAGATGACACAGCGGTGGATGTAAGCAAACTCCAAGGTGATCCCCACATGTGTTCAGGGCAGCACTGAGGGTTGGTAGGTGTTTTGGATCTCCCTGGCTAGGCTGTGAGGGTACCCCGCAGAACCTGGTTCAGACATACAGGAAGCAGTGCATGGAGCTGGCACGGCCAGCTAAAGAGCTTTCCTGAAGTGGGTGAATGGGCAAGGGCTAAACTGTCCCAATCCTCTGTGCCCAGAACCATCACTCAGGCTTGACTGATGCCTCCACCCCATCCCCACCAGTGCCTAGCACCCTCTCCCACCTATGCCCCCCCATCACCAACCACCTCCAGTGCTCTGCACCCACCCCATCACCACCCAGCCCCACCTAATCCTGCATCTGCCCCCCATCACCAACCACCTCCAGGGCCCTGCACCCACCCCATCACCACCCAGCCCCACCTAATCCTGCATCTGCCCCCCATCACCAACCACCTCCAGGGCCCTGTACCCACCCCATCACCACCCAGCCCCACCTAATCCTGCACCTGCCCCCCATCACCAACCACCTCCAACATGGGGAATAGATGGCCAACCCTCTGTGGAGAAAGAGGTGGTTAGGGACTATTTAGAAAAGCTGGACGTGCACAAGTCCATGGGGCCGGACGGGTTGCATCCGAGAGTGCTAAAGGAATTGGCGGCTGTGATTGCAGAGCCATTGGCCATTATCTTTGAAAACTCGTGGCGAACGGGGAAGTCCCGGATGACTGGAAAAAGGCTAATGTAGTGCCAATCTTTAAAAAAGGGAAGAAGGAGGATCCTGGGAACTACAGTCCAGTCAGCCTCACCTCAGTCCCCGGAAAAATCATGGAGCAGGTCCTCAAAGAATCATTCCTGAAGCACTTACATGAGAGGAAAGTGATCAGGAACAGTCAGCATGGATTCACCAAGGGAAGGTCATGCCTGACTAATCTAATCGCCTTCTATGATGAGATTACTCATTCTGTGGATGAAGGGAAAGCAGTGAATGTATTGTTTCTTGACTTTAGCAAAGCTTTTGACACGGTCTCCCACAGTATTCTTGTCAGAAAGTTAAAGAAGTATGGGCTGGATGAATGCACTATAAGGTGGGTAGAAAGTTGGCTAGATTGTTGGGCTCAACGGGTAGTGATCAATGGCTCCATGTCTAGTTGGCAGCCGGTGTCAAGTGGAGTGCCCCAGGGGTCGGTCCTGGGGCCGGTTTTGTTCAATATCTTCATAAATGATCTGGAGGATGGTGTGGATTGCACTCTCAGCAAATTTGCGGATGATACTAAACTAGGAGGAGTGGTAGATACGCTGGAGGGCAGGGATAGGATACAGAGAGACCTAGACAAATTGGAGGATTGGGCCAAAAGAAATCTGATGAGGTTCAATAAGGATAAGTGCAGGGTCCTGCACTTAGGACGGAAGAACCCAATGCACAGCTACAGACTAGGGACCGAATGGCTAGGCAGCAGTTCTGCGGAAAAGGACCTAGGGGTGACAGTGGACGAGAAGCTAGATATGAGTCAGCAGTGTGCACTTGTTGCCAAGAAGGCCAATGGCATTTTGGGATGTATAAGTAGGGGCATAGCGAGCAGATCGAGGGACGTGATCGTCCCCCTCTATTTGACATTGGTGAGGCCTCATCCGGAGTACTGCGTCCAGTTTTGGGCCCCACACTACAAGAAGGATGTGGAAAAATTGGAGAGAGTCCAGCGAAGAGCAACAAAAATGATTAGGGATCTAGAACACATAATTTATGAGGAGAGGCTGAGGGAACTGGGATTGTTTAGTCTGCGGAAGAGAAGAATGAGGGGGGATTTGATAGCTGCTTTCAACTACCTGAGAGGTGGTTCCAGAGAGGATGGTTCTAGACTATTCTCAGTGGTAGAAGAGGACAGGACAAGGAGTAATGGTCTCAAGTTGCAGTGGGGGAGGTTTAGGTTGGATATTAGGAAAAACTTTTTCACTAGGAGGGTGGTGAAACACTGGAATGCGTTACCTAGGGAGGTGGTGGAATCTCCTTCCTTAGAAGTTTTTAAGGTCAGGCTTGACAAAGCCCTGGCTGGGATGATTTAATTGGGGATTGGTCCTGCTTTGAGCAGGGGGTTGGACTAGATGACCTCCTGAGGTCCCTTCCAACCTTGATATTCTATGATTCTATGATTCCAGTGCCCTGCACCCATCCCATTACCACCCAGCCCCGCCTAATCCTGCATCTGCCCCCCATCACCAACCACCTCCAGGGCCCTGCACCCACCCCATCACCACCTACCGCCCGCCATGTTCTGCACACACCCCTTGGCCCCCCCGCCTCGCTTTGGTCACGTGGTGGCGAGGCGGGCCCTCACGCATAGGCGGGGAACCCAGCGCATCGCCACCGGACGGGTCAAGGGCGAATCCCCGACACGTGACCTGGGAGTGGGCGCGGCGGCGCGGTGACGCAGGGGGCGGGGTGGCGGTACTTGGCGCGCAGAGCGGCGGCCGCTGTCAGAGCACAACGGCGGGCGGGCGGGCCGGACGCGCCAGCAGGTACCGAGTGGCGGGGGAGGGAGGGCGCCGAGCAGGCTCGGGGAGCCCGTCTGCGGGGAGAGGGCGCCGCCTCGTGCCCTCGCCCCCGCCCCCGGAGTGCCCTTGGCGCCGCCGCTCGGGCGCCTCAGGCGAGGGGAGGGTGGGGTCACGGGGAGTGACGGCAGCAATGGCCAATAAGGAGGCGGCGCGCTGCCATCCCCGCTGTGGCTAGGTCGGGCCGTCGGCGGGAGCTGAGGCGGGGCCGCTCGCTGATTGGATGGCGGGGGGCGGGGCCGCAGTCGCGAGTGGCCGAGACCCCAGCCCCGTGGAGGCCAGGAGCGCGCAGCCCCACGTGGAGGGAGCTGGGGCGGGGGTCCTCTCGCCCCTGCGGGGTCTGGCCCCTGCTCCCTGGAGAGGGAGCCGGCATCGTCACCCCGCTCGCGCAGGCGGGGAAACTGAGGCACAGAGCGAGTCAGGGGCCGGGCCGGGGCTGGAGCCCGAGGGGCCGGCCAGCTCTGCCCGGTCCCATCGGGGCTCGGCACTGAGCCACGCTGCCCTTTCCCCGCATGGCGCTGTGGTTGGGTACCTCAGGGGCAGGCACGGGACCGGTTCATGGGGAAGCGGTTCCCCTCCGCCGCCGTAATGCTGCGGCCTAGTAGTGGAGAGCCCGCATCTCTCCCCTCCCGCGGGGTCTTTGTGCCTGGAGGTGGGAGAGGCCCTTTCCCTTCGCGGTCAGGTGGTGGCAGGAACAGCTTCCATGACATCAGGTAGCTCCTAGCCAGAGGTCAATCTAACGTTCGTCTGCGGTCAGTATCGTGGTGAGAAGCCCAGAGTCCTTTTGCTTCTCACTCCTTGGGGGTGGGTGCCAGCCTGCTCCCTCGAGCCTTTCCCAAGGAGCATGCTTGTGGGTACCCTACTCACCTTCATGTTGACCTATGGTTGGTGGATTTTGCCTTGCTAGAAGTTATCTAACACAGTTACCAAGGCTGTGACCTCCATTTCCTCTTTTGCATGACTTAAACTCTTTCATGTAAACAAATTCCAACCTCTGGGGAATGTGCCCTGCTTCTCTGCCTGGCACCTCCTAGCAAGAATTGGAAACTGTTAGGGCAAAAAGGAAGCTGCTAGTCCAGGCCTGACCCTTCTGGGCATTAACTATTGTGTGAGTCAGTGCTTGTCTTCCTGTGCAGCTGCTCTGCTGTCGCACTGCACATGAAGATGCTACTGCACCGGCGGGAGAAGCAGCGTAATTAATCCACCTTTGCGAGAGGTAGCTGTGTTGGTGGGAGAAGCTCTTCTGTTGACATAGCGCTGTGTACACTGGGGCTGAAACCTGTGTTGCTCAGTGGTGTGGTTTTTTTACACCCCTAAGCAATGTAGTTGTACCAATATATATGCCTGTAGTATAGACTTGGCCATAGTCCTAGTCTTCAGTGAATGCTGTTAAATGTCCCTTCATGCCCACTTGGCCTATTTGAAAAAGAGAATTCTAATAGTGAAATTCAGCAGGTTTAATTGGCTCAAGTCAGGGAAGTGTAGGGTTGGTATGAAAAGTATTCTTACTGCTTGAATTACTGCTCTTCACTGCTTGATGTCATGATTTTGATTTAAAAATCTGATAGGGAGTTGAATGTAAGACACTCATTATACACAGAAGGTATGTTCTCACTGCAGTTAACAGAGATCTGGGAACCTAGATTGGCCAAGGTTGCATGTGAGCATCCACCCTGAGAAACCACACTCAAGTCAGACTGGTGAGCTGCATCTACTCTGATGTTTCAGTAACCTGGGTTAAGTGGTAGGATTTGTGGGGGTGTATCCCATGGTTCTTAGCACTGCACTAAGCTGCAGCGCTCTGTGATGTGAACCTCTGGCCAGGTAGTGGCATGCTGGGATGAGGATGACATCACTATTCAGGTGTTTGTGGGCTGTGTGGAATGGGTTTAAATGCCAAACTAGTGTATATAAGCACTGAGTGCTGGTGCAGAAGAAGGGAGTGGGTAGAAAGATAGGAAAATACACCCCTGAGGGAATTGTGGGATGGTATTGGAGGACTGTCGGCACTTAAGTTAAATAACTTGAGTTACAGCTAGATCCATACTACCAAATGAGCAGGTTACAGTCTGAATTAAAGCAGAACCAGGGTTCTGACCTGTACCCTCAACCAGATAAGGTAGTGCAGGCCCAAAAAACCTCCAAATCTGGGTCAAAGGTTTTTGTGTGTGGGTAGTAGGAGGCCTTGGACTAAAACCCACGTAAGAGCCTGTGTTAACTTGTAGCGAAGACATAGTTTGTCTTTGGATATCAGAAATGGCTTGCACAAAGAGGTGGACATATGCTGACAGTGGGGAGGAATGCAAGTGCCATTTTTATACACAGAATAGAATATGCTTGCTTTGCCTTTTAATAAAGTTGAAAAGTTTTGTTTTCATACAGATAGATCATTCTTGGTTTAAACCCTGTTGACTTCAGGGGAGTTATACCTCGGATGAATGTGCACCATTCACTTTATAATAATACTAAACAGCTCAGCAATTGTATCTTGAGGGCAGAAAGCTATGACCTGCATAGATTCCTATAGGATAAATGTGATCAGGAACCTCATTTAGACAGAATGTCCTGCGGAAAACTCTTCAATATTTTTAAGAGAAGTGGTCAAGATTTTTTGGGGGTCATTTTTACCTTGTCATTTACTTTGTTATTAGTCCTGGTTGTAAGAGCTAATTGTCAGGAGTCTGTCTTTTTTTCAGTAGGCAGTACTGAATAGCTTAAGGTTAAACAAACTGATAGCATGTGTTCTGTAGTTGTTTAGAAACTACTGTCCCATCACGTCTGGATCAGTTCGTTTAGTGGGGTTGCACTGAATATGTGTGTCAGGGGTTTAGTTATTGGGAACATGACTGGATTGACTTTCTTAGAGCATTTTTTTTTTTAAACTCCAAATGAATTTTCAGCCCTAGCTGAGTGGAGGAAAAACTCACTCCATTTCCTGGTAGCACTATACTTAGTTGTCGTAGCTCCTGACCGAACCGTTCGAGGTGACCTTGAATAAGTACAGACCATCTTTAACAATAAAATGACTCTCTACAGCAGTAGTTAATGGTAAACATACTCAGACAGCCTCGGCCCCTTTCAACAAAAAAGTGCAAATTAATAGTTTTTACCAATATAAAAAAATACAACCATCATTTGGTCACCTAGTAAGGAACCTGTGTTTTTAAAACTAATAACTGCACTTAGCAGTCTCAAAATATTTAACAAATGTTAGCAAAACTCAGACACTTCAAGATTTTTTCTTTCCTGTTACTCTGATTCTTAGATACATTGGGTTCATTGCACTTACTTAGCAGCCTGATTTTCCTCTAATCAAACATTAATTCTATTTAAATCCTCTGTTTGTTTGGCTTGGTTCTGATTTAACTAAAAACAATTCCGAAGTATCTATTTTCAATGGCAGGTTTCATTGACTCTTCTGGGTGCTTTGGGGCCAAATTAGTAGCTTAATCTACATTGTTTAATAGTATATTCTTGCATAGTTTGAACACTAGGTTTATTATGAATATTCTCATTCATTGATCTTTCAGTGAAAACCACTAAAAACAGGGAATTAGGGAAATTGTGAGTTCAAATCCAGCTTTAACGCTGCAGCCTTGCCCACACAGAAAGTTGTATGTGTGATACGTTGTATGTTTTAATACTGTTTTAGTTAAACTGGTGCAGCTTTGTGTCTAAACTCTTATCAGTTTATCTTGTATCAGTAAACTTACAGACACAAGCTAAACTGAAGTATTTCATTTTAAACCAATATGAGTCCCCACAGACAGAAGTTGTAATGATGTAACTAAGCTGATTCAAGTTAAACCTGTGACGCTTCTGTATATAGACAAGCTCAAGCACACTATTTGGAGCTGGACAGATCCCTTCTAAGCCAATGGATACCTCAATTCTTAGGAGCCTAATAAGGACTTGTATACACAGAGTTGTTGCTGAATAACTCCATGTGTAGGCATTGTTATTTTGGAACAAGGGTGCCCTGTCCCTATTTTAAAGTGGGTTAAGCTAAGCAGGAGCAAGGCAGTTTTGTTCCAAAATAAGAGTGTCTACACTTGGAGTTATTAAGAATAGCTATTGCTTGTTTCTACCTCCTTCACTGAGAGACGCAGAACCCCCATCAATTGCAGATATGAAATCAATAAACTTGTGTCCCAAAAGGCTGCCTTTTTTGTTTTATTGTGTTTGAAGCAAAACCATTGGGAATCTGGCAAGAGAGTTGGTGAGCTGTTGGCATACGAATAAGCAAAAGGCTAATAGAAATAAGATCGCTGCTATTTGTGATAGTAGCAATAAATTATATACAACAGTCAGATATTAATAAACAGTTTTATTCAAAACTATGGCCAAAAGGGGAATCAGTAAAGATACCCTAGTTGACTTTTTTTAGTGGATTGTCTCTGTCACAGTTTTGACTCTCAGAAAGAACTTTCTGATGCTTCTCTAGAAATTGCAGAAATTACTCAGGCTATGAAAGAAATGAAGGTTGGAAAGACGCCTGGAGCAGATGGATTCCCAATTGAATTTTACAAAAAGTTCTCTGAAACTTTAACACCTAGATTATTGAATATGTTCAGTGCGGCCAAGAATGAGCAAACTCTCTCACCTTCTCTAGCAGAAGCTGTTATTTCAGTTATTCGTAAACCTGGGAAAGAACTTGGACTATGTAGTAATTACAGGCCAGTTTCTTTAATCAATCGTGACACTATGATTTTAGCCAAAGTTTTTGTTATGCAATTGTACAAAGGTGTCTCACACAAGACAAGCTTGTCACATTAGACAGGTTCTAATTGGAATGCTTGGACCCGACTTTCAGAGATGTTGAGCTCTCTCAGCAGTCATTGAGCACTGTAAGTGCTCAGCATCTTTGCAGGTCAGATCCAAAATGTCTTAGGACATGGCTACACTTGCAGATGTAGAGCGCTTTGAGTTAAACCCGTCTTCAGAGAGTGCAGTAGGGAAAGCGCTGC